TAAATCTGACCAATTTATGTCGTTTCTATGATGTCAGTTTAACTATTCGTCCTACTAAATCACTTTGCAAAATGATTAATCCTGTATTAAAGTCAACAAACTAGGTAGCCATAAAATTGACATGAATGTAACGGTACATTACTGATCTCTTTATTATCCTAGAGAGAGAGAGAGAGAGTGAACTGACAGTTTAAGGCGTGTTACTAGGCTTTATAAATAAATTAGAGTAAACATTGTCGAAGTTTCAGTTCATTCATAAGCTTGTGTTTGAATGCGACAGATACATTCTGGTTATTGTCAGACATCACTTATAAGATAACATTCTTCTTACATTGCTATGGGAGAAATTACCTAATAATACTGTTGACACCTGACTTGTTTTATAATCAGTGTGACCGAAAACACTGACTTACAAGGTGATGATGTCATCAATAAGATGTCAGACAACTATGCAATGACTTCAAGATCATTTCATAAGAACCTGAATGAAAGGTTGTCTTTTGCTTATCTTAAAAAACCGTTTTCATCTTGGTGTTCTACGAAAGACAAACTGAGTCACATGCAACGCATATGTGTAAGCCTTGTCTGTACACTAGCTTCATTTTTCAAAGTCATACAGTGTTCTTTACCAGGTCAAAAATTACTAGTATGTACAAAATATCCATAACATCGTACTATAGGCGTGTTGAATTTACCATGGAAAACACTGAGAGATTTTTACCAGCCCCTTCTTCATTTCCATCACACGTCGAGTGTAGTTAGAAGCGTATATGCTAGAAATAGCACGAAAATGAATCAATCCATATAGCATAACTGAATCTTTATAACTTACACCTATCCCTAATTCTCGTCATATCTTCAAATAAAAGTAATTAGTTAAAGGCATCAGGTGCTTACTTCCAAACAGCGACTGAGCTTTGAGAGACATACCAAGGTACGTCGAACTGTTGGATACCACATACCATGTAAATCCGCTGGAGCAAGAGACATGTTAGGTCCTGGTTGAACTACCAAATCAGAAGATGTAGGCTGAGCTTCTGGAACTGTTTCTGACGATGTAGGCGATGTCTGAGTGGAGTCAGATATTTCAGTAGTCTCTTTTACTTTATCCGATGAATCGCTTGGATCTACAGGTTTCGCAATACTCTTTGCTATGTCCTGTAAGTATATACATTAAAATGGTAAAATTCAAAAATAATACCTAATACATATAGGAAGACAACGCAAATCTCTGTACGCAAGTGCTTCAATTCAAGCTGTGGTATAGATTAAAAGGAATCGGAAGCGCATAGTAGTATCTGTGAACAAACGTGCGTGTCAATGGAATCTTTAAAATGAAGTGTGAATGCATGTGGTTAATTTAGCCAGAGCATAAGAAACCTTAAATCATCAGCTCTTAGATTCCTGGAGAATCCAAACACACAATACACACTTCCGTAGATGGTTCGATATAACAATGAAATACCCAAATTGAACACCTCTAATCCATTATAATAAAGGTTTTTTTCTATTTCCCAATGAATGAAAAACAAAACGATATTGTTTTTATTGACGTTTCGCTATATAATGCTAATAGCTTTCTCAAAGTATTATTAAAGCGGAATTTACAAAATCACAGCACATAACTGCTGTGTTTGTTAATTACATCAACTAACATGAATGTGAATGTAACTCATTAGACAGCTTGTTCCACATGTTAGGACTGTTCCGTATCCAACTGCCTCTCCTTGAAGGACATTTGTTCTGCATTTACTACAGGTAACTAACTATTGAATTTGTGTATCATGTGCAAATAGAACTTTAAGACAAGTCACTTGCATTTCAACTTTAGGAAAGCCTACACTTTGCCCTGAGTATTGGCTATGAGACCTAAGATATCGATTGGTGTGCAGTTAAATCCTAGACACAGATTCTATGACAAATATTATGATAGGTATATAAGTTAAGCCTAACGATTTGGCTACATTAGATTGTAATACAAGAAATGTTAAGATGCAACGAATATTCTCTTTGAGTTATTTAAAGCGGCACCGGTGTATACATCGACACCGGGAATATCAACAGAGCACTATATCCTTGTTATGAAGCAAATAAGTTTGACAAGCAGCGAAAAGTATTTGTTAGGATAATGAGCACTGAAGTCTACCACATTGTGAATCGAATTCAAAATTTGCAAATTGGTTGGCGATTTGCAATTTACACAGTTCGTTCGGTGCAATTAAACCGCAGTTTCCTTCGGAAACCAAGTTATCCCGATCACAAAATGTGATATGCTTGATACCATAAATCGTGATGAAGAGAGCAGGAAAATTTGCATGCAAGTGATTGAGATGAGTGGTTGCATATGACTCATATCAGCCAGCCGTGCTTGCTAGCCACATCGAGGTGATCGAAACACCAGACTCGCTCGTTTGGGGCTTTGTCATTTTATATGAAATTAGACGATAAATGCAAACCACAGCAAATATCTTAGCCATACTAATTTTTCTATTGAAATAGTAGGAAGTTCGAGCACTGAATATTGGAATACTGGAATTTCAATGAATTATAGGAGCCTTAGAAGCAAGAACAAGGAGTGCAATCGATATTTTCTTATGACACGTGATCTAGAACTCATTAACACTTTCTAAACACGCAGACGAGTCTATTGATATAAGAGTACAAAACTCGTCATTTTCAGAAATAACCAACCAATAGGTTGAGAATGAGACATGCATAAGTGTAATCAATGAGATGGCGATTGGACATTAAGGCATAACTGGGTAATTTTCGTACCTGTTTGTTGTCACTCTCATTGTCGTCACTGGATAGAACAACAAATCAGTTGGCTCATTCGATAAGGTTCGCAACAATATATTTATATATATAAATATATATAGACGTACATATGTATATAACCAAACTTATTCTTATATTGTTTCTTGCCTTATCGACATTCTCTAATTGACCAGATATGGATACTTGATTACTCTTAGCAGCAAACTCGTCCCGATTACAATCCGGAAAATGTATATGACATTGTGTATTCCTCATAACTCTTTTAATATCATCACCACGATGACCAATTACATGACTGTGGTCAGTATGTGATACATCAATTTTCAATGTGACGCGATTCGACATTTTATCGGATTGATCTCCTTTATAATTCAAAAAAAGGAAAACAGAAAAGAGGAGTAGAATTTTGTTTGTAGTATGTCTGCTTTAATTAATTCATTCATTATTCAATCAATTTCTTTAACACTTCTTTACAATTTGATGAACACTTCATGAAACGTATTTGGTTGTTGTTGTTGTTGTTGTTGTTGGTGGTGGTGGTGGTGGCTATCAGCGAACTCCCAGATACACGCTGACTGAATTCCAACAGTCACCTTTTCAATAATAAAGCTACTAAGAAAGTCCACCACCACCACCAGATTTCACTTTGATTTCATCTAACGTCTTCCAGTCGACTGCTTTCAACAATCTAATATCATAAGTTATTTCAGATCGATTCGACCTATAAAGCCAAGTCTAAACATTATTCTAGTACGAATACGGAAGCCTGAAATACTATGCGATTCTTCTTTTTTCATTTGATTTAAGGGTCTCAAATATCATCAGATCATGAATTCAAAGTTGGTTTGAACGAAGCGTACTTTCTCCACTACAACTATGGTGCTGTATTATTATGACAACAGACATTTTACTTTACAACTGCAAGAGTCTGAAGAGAATTCGTTGAAACATCTTCAGTAAATACACTACACAATTCAGACAAATTCCACCTTCGTATTGCTTTGTCTAAATTCATAAAGGGAACTAATTGTTTTAAAGGAAGATTATTCTTCACTCAGAGAGATAGTTGTGGTATTTATTGACACGGAGTTTTCCAGACCCTCCTATCTCTTGGAAATTATAATTTTTACTGTAAAATAATGAACAGTGCTTAAACCAATAAGCTACCTATCATTAAGCTCCACCCATCAAAATGCATTTCATTCACTCTTTCACGTTTTTTCAAATGATTCAATTACATCATTGAATCACAATCTGCAATTACGCCTCCTTTCAAATGGGTTTCAGACAATCAGTATGCATATTTTCAAGGGAATTGAGAAAAGACGAAGGAGGTTATTACAGCGTGCTTTGGACAGAGCCATATACCTTCAAGTGGTATATGACAGATTATTAGTTATTACAAGTGAAGATTCTACACAGGGAGTATATTCTTTACAATAGAATATACTGAGAATTTTGCATAATGCATGAATGCGTCTTTTAGAACACTTATTATTATTACTATTATTACTATTGATATAATCACTGAGGAAGACACTCAAACTGAGGTATGATTACCACTAAATCTCATGGTTATTGGTTCAATACAAACAATTATTTGCAAATCAAACAGATCCGGATAGAAATATGTCACTGTTTCCTCCTAAAACCCAAAACTTTCAGATTACAGTCTGTGTGTGTATGTACGGTGTGACTTAACACCGTAAATAACAATCGGGAAGACAATCAAAGTAGCAATGTTGATATATATATATATATATATATATATATGCGTATATCGGTAAGTGACATGAGTATTTAGAAATTGTGACATGAATAGTTGCAAATTAGCCTAGTCCTAATTGGATTTTCATTGCAAAAATGTAGGGGTTCAGACACACTTTGTCGAAATACTCACACCATAGACAACTTCTAAAGTCTTCACTTTCAAACTATAATGCACTTCTGTTCACAAAAGTATCATGTCAGTAACCAATTCATCGAAATATACACCTATTCGATATAAAGATGAGACTTGTGGACTGTGGTACACTACAATTCCATTATGGATAACATTTATTTTGATAAAGTCACAGCGTTATAGAGTAATACTGGCTAGATTTCCAATAGTTAGCAACCAATACCTCTTTTTCGTTTTAGCTAGCATGATGCAAAGATGCAAAACAGATGAAATACTATACACACAAATTATTTAAAATTCAAGAAGTTATATCACTCACCTAACAAATTTTCAGTTTGATCATAAAATTCCGACACATGTAGGTCTCTTTGAAATCCTCTAGGATTTGACATGTTCATGATTCTGTTATGTTCCGGATAAAGTGAAGGCTTTGTATGATATGAAATTGATTTCCAGTTTTAAATAAATCTATAACAATATAATATCTGTATGTCTTGATATGATTTCAAGTAGCAAAATGAGTATGTCCTAAACCAGGGCGAATAGTAAATTCACTAACGAAGATTTCAAATGGACAGACGTGTGACATTAACTGGCCTTATTCATGTATTATTTTGATGTTTTAATTTGTTAACACAAATCATATCATAAGACGTCCAATCACGGCTCATCTCATGCTGCTTCATGCTATTGGCTAAAATACGATAGTCTCATATAGTAGTCTTACTTTACTCAACTCATTATCCATTTTGTCTGTGTGTATTTCATATTGAGTCATTTGCATTTAATTAAAAAAAAAAAAACAATCAATCAATACTTATATATACTTCGTCATAATGAGTAAATGTGATGTGTGTTCAAAAAAATAGACTGAATTATTGTCTTGATTGTCTTATAATAGATGAGATGTATTCAAGTGCATAAGGTTAGGCAGATATCATTCATACTCATACGAATAGACCTCACTTTTCGTTAAGGTCAAGGTATTGAAATTTTAAAATGGGAAAGCATAATATCAAAACAGAACCAGACGTCAATATAATGGTGAGAATAACACTATAGAGACTAGTGAAGCTTTTAAGGATTTGGAATACTAGCAGGAAATTTGAACAAAGCTGTGTACACCACCATTGAGAACGACTTACAAGACATTACAGAGAAGAGCACTTTTGAAACAAAAATTAATTACATAAAGTTATTATTATTATTATTCATCTTTTCAACTATATATTCTATATTTCAACTTCCTAGAGCATACATTATCGATGATTCATCACGAAGTATCAATTAAAGAGGGAGAGAACAAAGGTCACCAAGTTATTAATGATAATAATGAGAATACAAATGAATGCAAACATCAGGTTGCGTATCATCTCTATATTCATTTATTTATTTGTTTTGCAGGGATTCCTTCTGTCAGAAAATTATTAACACGTCTCCTGATTTGTTGTCATAAATATACTTCTTTTTTCAAATACACAAAGTACATATCTGCTTTTCATATTACTGGATCCAACTAGTTCTGAATTCTTAAAGAATGTATATTGACAAGTTAACTGTAAATAGTAGAAATGAATAAAATCTAAAACTCCTCAACAGTACGCACCCACCGGGACTCGAAACAAGGACATTCTACTTAGTCCCAAGGTAGGACGAAACAACTGTCCACTAGTCCCTGCCGGTTTTCCAATGGTTCTCCAACCAATGTCAGCTCAGGATGAAATCCTGTAACGCCCTCTGGTTTTTTTTCTCAACTCGAGACGAGTTTTGTTTGTGACAGAATCTACATTCTGTATGTATTGTGCAATACGACTAGAATAACTTTGGAAGGCAGTCGATAAAGTGAGTTTAAAATTGATAATGATCAAAGTGTGTATAATACTGAAGATGATGAAATGTGTTGACTTGTATATCAGAAAAATTGAATAATTAAATGCAAACAGGAGGCGAAGTTACTTCTGCATAATTCATATTGCATGCGTACTTTCTATTGATGAATACAGTTCTAAAGTGTTCACTTATAAGTGAGAACAGAGAAAGGAAATGTTATAGGCAAGATAAGCAGAGATAGAGAAAGAGACATGTTACCTGAAACTGATGTGTGCATCGATATCTTGTCTCTTGGTTTGCTACACTAAAACTTTGATTGGTCTATTTTCTACATAGTGTGGTGGTGTGATGCAGAGAATGTATTCCGACGGAATATTGTTCTCACATACTCCCACAGTTCAGTTCACTACGGGATTAGCAACAGAATACTGTGTATATTTGATGGTTCTATTTGTTTCCAGGGTAAGAATACTTTCCCTATAGTTCAATATAGGCATTAGCAACAGAACGCTCTATATATTTATTTGGAAATTCTATTTCATGTCGTTTAATGTAAACCAAAATCACACACTGGGTGATTAGTTAAAGAATATAAAAGTGTGTTTATATATAAATGCCTGTTTGATCACTTGAAAATATACCTTGGCTTCTGTGTCTTGCCTTCTGCTGTTAGAATAGCACTTACATATATCATGTCTTCATTTTGCTTCACTAGAGTGTCTCTTTCTCTGGTTTTACCTTATATAAAAGTAACATTATCAATGTTATAGGCGATAAAATCACAACAATAGAATGATGGAGTAAAATTTTTTTCTCAAGAATTCCATTAAGCTGAACTTGTCTTATAAATTGACAGACAGTTCTGTGTTCAGTTTCTCACTAATTTGCGCACAGATAATAACATTTATCTAATGTTTTATGAACAGCATTAGCGTACTACTGAAAAAAGATGACACAAGCAGTGTAAAATTAAATAGGCATAGATAGAACACCAAGATTGGTGCAGATTAATAGATTGGTCGATATTTTAGGTCTCATTGTCAACATTCAGGGCACATGTGGTGATTGACAATTTCTATCTCTGTATTGTTTAAATACTGACTGTTGCTTGTTAATATATTTCTAATATGAATTGATAATTAGAATTCCGCCAAATACAAACAAATGAAATGTAGACATTACATTTCATTTGTTTGTATATTGAGGCTTCGATTGAAATCGTCATATCCTTTCCATATTCTATTGTTATCGGTTACAATACTGTCAGATTTCAATTGCATTCTGCACTGGATTCATAACTCATTAAACGCAGACCATCCTTCTCATGATGATGATGATGATGATGATGATGACAGGAATTGATTCCTCCGCCTAGTTGGTTATTGTAAATAGATTACCAAATGGCTTCATCGATGTTGTTGCTGGTGTTGAATATGATGATAAAGGTCGAGTAATCAACGTCATGTTCTCTTTATTCCCCTCTTCATGATTGATTGTTGTACAACCCTCTGTGTCATCGAAAGTCATTCTCCCTCTAAATTACGTTTTTTACATTCATAGAAACAAACAATTACACATATATCATTATGTGTACATTGACAAAAACAAATGCAATGAAACACATCCCAGCTGCGTTTCCTAACAGTCACAACGTCTGTCTGAGCACTTCAAAATATTTAGGAACATTTTGCACAACGTCAGTCATAACACTCATATGAGATGCTTGTGTCTCATTAGTTAGCACTCACTGCATCACATACAGTTGACTACTTCCTTTGAGTTTTGGGCACCAATGCTATCTGGTATGTCACTCGAACGATCAAATGCCAACTAATAATCTCGTCTGAATTCCAATTCATTGATAATCTACAACACATCAGTAGCTGAACAGCATACCGAATACACCGAAACTCAATTATCGCGCCTCTCACTTGACTCCTGATTACAATAGCTGGTTAGTGCTCAGTGTTGAAATGACTACATAATTCAATTTTTTCATCAAAAAACAAGAGCGATAATTTATTGGATTGTGTCGTGTGATTTATGACTAAATGATTCCATTGACGGCGATGGGGAAATCGGAAGCGATGGCTGTGGAATTATTACCCTGGAGATTATGATGATTATGATGATCCATTGGGCAGAAAACCCACTGAGAATACGATCAGCGTTTGGAAATAATAGAGAATATTTGTAGCTCACGTGGATGATTTGCAACTAGTTGTGTTCTCTGAGGCGGTTGTTTTAATCGTGGAGCTTTCGTCGTCCTGCTGGAAAACATCTTCAGGAGAACTAACACAGGAAATTTAGAAATACAACTATATAGAAAATCAACGCGCATAGACTAAATACTCAGCTACATTAGCAATGACCCAATCACCTACAAAAGAAACTGTCTGCAGACATTGTTTAAAAGAGTTGAAACAAACTGCAGCACTCTAGTGTTGAGGAGAGAGAATCCAGACAAATACCCACCTACCGTCTTCAAAAATAATGGATATCCTCACAATTTCATCAGAAGTGTTTAAAGTCGAGTCACAACACCAACAAGAAACAATCATCAAGGAACACAAGAAAATTCATCCTGCCATATATAAAAAATATCTCTGAAATACTAGCTAGAATATTGAAACCGTTTGAATAGATATAGCACACAAGTCAGCCAGCGCGATCACTTTGTTTGATATTGTGGAAACCGAAAGATCCAACAGAAAAAGAAGATAAAACTAATACCATCAAGAAAATAAATTGTATGTATGAATGTAACAGACATTACATCGGCCAAAGTGGGTGTCCCCTTCGAATCAGAATCCAGGAACATGATATGCATATTCTTCCATATCAATGCATGTAGATAATTATGGACATTAATTTTATTGGAATAATGTCGAAATTCTATACAGAGGAAATACCAAAAGTGCCAGAGAATTCCTAGAAGCCCGGTACCCAAGCGAATACGCAATTAACAAACATGCTAACATAGACCAAATCTACCAAGTAATAAAGAGTAAATCATGTGACGAGAAAGTTCAAAATCCAAGTCAATAGAAATGATCAAAACAGATATAAGTCGACTGGCAGTCATGAAGATAGTCACCAGCAGGAGACACAATCCTGTCATTCACAGAGAATTGAAATCAGTTGATTTCATGCTAAAGCTTGCGCTGAAAGAGGGGCATGTTGTCCAGAAGGAGGAAGAAAGCTCCCCAATTGAACCAACAAGCTCAGAGAACATAAATAATTGCAGATCCATAGTTTCATGCTTGAATCGACTTAGTATTTGACAACGATTCCTTGTGACTGTTGCTTCATCTTTGTGTCACTTAATTTATTTATCTGTGATATCATGGTGACTGTTTTCCAACAAGAATGAGTGGGAAACCATAGTAACTGATTGAAAATAGAAAAAACAACATTTTCATCATTTCTTTCCTTCACGTTCCCCAGTGGAACATAGGGCTTCAAGCTAGTGGCTAGAAGTTTCTGTAGCAGTGTTTAGTGTTACAGGATGGGGTTGCTAGCCTCATTCCCAACCTTTCCTCTTTACCAGCATTACTTCTGGCTTAGCGAGGTAAGGGAGTGAGTCGGTGGTCGCCAATCGAACTTCGGACCATGTGCATGGTCGGCGAGCGTCCTAACCGCTATGACACTGACGCACACACTTTTGTCATAAACCAAACAATTTATTTTTGATTAGACGTTGGAAACAAAAGTGTACATAAACACAATGTGGGAAGTAAACGTTTTAACACTTTCAAATCGACATGTTAGATAGAAGATGATGACTAAGCGTTAAAAATAATCAATACTTGCTTATAATATGAATAAACAGTGTGTATACAGCAATGTGGAGTAGATAAACAGGCTAATGAAAAAGTACATTGATTTAATTTCTCCTTATGATCTCATAGCGGACATTCACGCACGCACGCACACACACACAAACATACATAGAAAGAGGCATACACGAACACATCAATGCAACATGGATAGATACTAGAACAAGACATATAAGCGAACAATATTGTTTTCAATTAGATCTTCTTCAGGCTTTACTCTAATTTACATAGACTTATATATATATATATAAAATTTTAATCAATGACGGTGATTTAGTGGATCAAATAATAATAGTAATCATGATAATAATAATAATAATAATAATATAATAATAATAGTAGTAATAATAATGTGGTAAATGTTTTGAACGAAGTTAACAACGATGATTACTATTATTATATGATTACTATTATAATTTGATCCACTAAATCACCGTCATTGATTAAAATTTTATATATATAAGTCTGTGTAAATTAGAGTAAAGCCTGAAGAAGATCTAATTGAAAACAATATTGTTCGCTTATATGTCTTGTTCAAATGGATAAATACTACACACATACAAGAATGCATACAAGACGCTCACTAGAAAAAGTAGTTTAAACACTGGAGAGTAGAAAAAACAGTTATTGGACAACACACTCTACGCACACACACACACACACAAACATACAAACTGGCATACACGCACACACTGCGAAATAACAACAGCCATCTTAGTGATCTGCAGTACGCTGATTTATATCTTGCCATGGCTTAAATCAACAGGCCAACTTCAGTCATCACCTATGACATTTATACCTGTCTGTCATTCCAAGGTTATTTTACATACTCTCATCAAGGCATAGATCCACTGTGAAGACAATTCATAGTATCAATTAATGTTCGCCTCTGCACTTTTCACTAGCCAGTCACTCCAGTCATACTGAATTCATCGTCAGTGAAAACTAAGCATTTCTACACACACAGTTTTACATGAAAGGAAATGTTTTATAGAGAAAAATGTTCACTGACTAGCCTCAGCGTTGTTCATTACAGAGGATGTTTTGAAAGTATAGGTGTCCGGAAAATTATAAATAAAAACAGGAGTTAGGTTTTACAGAGCAAGTTGTGAAGTCTTGTTAACTCACTGATATGATGATAGGCGATAAATTCTTCTCGAGACACCATTCAGCCATTAGCACTGTATCACATTCTGTGATATCAAATCAGCTAATCAAACATGGAATCAATCATATTCTGCAGTTTCTGCATTCTCTCTCCCTACATACATCTCGTTAAATTTCCGTCCTCAAATGGTTGTTTCGTGGTTTTTTTGTGGATTGTTGATAAATATGGAGGCGCCGAGGTTGGGATTCGCGAATTTCCAGTTAATAGTCAGTCTAGAAGACCATTGAGCCACCGTGGTACGTCAGTGGTTCAGAAGTAGGCGGCTGACCAATCTAGTAAGCGGCACGGGTTTCGTACACGGCTGATGCACTCCTTCAACTCACTCAGCCTGTAGAAATCCCTGTAAAGAGGGAAGGTTAGGAGTGAGGCGAGCAACCACCATCCCGTAGAAATAAAACCACTCCTAATGAAACTTCAATGCTCTAGCCTGAAGTCAGCACTATGTTCCACTGGGTACACAAAGCAACGAAGGACGACTACTACTTGTAATAATAAAAATGATGATGATGATGATAATAGTAAAATCTACTCAAAAATGAATACACTTCACTATTGTTGTGAGATCTAGTTGTCATCGTGCTTCTTTTCATTTCAACTGAATAATATCATGATGAGTCAGTAAAACGTAGTCGTAATATTTTCTGGATTATTTAATGGACTTGTGAAACATGTAATTGGCAAATATGCCTACAAGATCTGACTGACTCACCTATTTGAAAATCTTTCTACCTCTTTGTATTGATTGTTCGACTTGAAAATATCATTCGGCCATAATTTATCTGAATTTAGTTGATAGCTCATTGAATTTAAAGATTTCGAAGCATAAATACTATTGTCGATTGCTTTTGCTGTAGTGTAAAGAACAAATAAATAAATAAATAAATATTTCAATGTACAATATACAATCAGTATGAGTAAGTAAACAATTCTGACTAATCATGCCTATACAATGATACGAGTTTCGAAATAATTCGGCCTTTGATGCATATACTAATTATTTGTTTCAAATCTCACCTAATTTACCGGCCAGTCCTTAACCCGTAAGTGAAGAAACAATCGTCATGAAAGACACCCGCCCCCAATCTCCTCAGGAGAAATCCGAAGCACAGGAAAAATAGACTTATTGTTTCCCGAAATCAGGAAGACGCGACAATCCCACGATGGATGTAACAGTGTGTGAAAGAGTCCGGGAAGCCAGTTGACCAATAATTGTTCTAACCACGAAAGCAAAATTAGGCTGAGGTACAGACAACGTCCACACCGTGTTTCAGGTTAGCTGACGACGTTAGCTGATCAGATGTACAAGAAATGAGATTCTCCGATAATATATAACTAACACCGTCCTCCTAGTCTCATGCATAGAATTCATTTCTCAGTTATTGCCTGGTATTTCATAAAATCAAATAAACAAGGAAAACATCACTGCTGAATGACTTCTTATCAGAATTCATTCAAAAGTCTGTGAAGACCCCTAATAAAGTACAGTGTAATTCACGCCTTTCTATAAGAACATTATTGAAACAGGACATCTTGTGGTTTAGAATTTCAAAATATTTCTATATCATGAATTATGAGTCCGTTTGAAGAAAGGATATTCCTTTCTCGATATATTCCGAGTTTCGATTTAGAATCTGCGATCACATTCCACGTGCAAATATACCCTCCGACAGGGATATCCTGGACCAAAGTGGAGAACCTGGAAGACCTGGATTTCGCGCGGCGATGACTTATGTTTGATGTCACACAAAATCGAAAACCTACAAGCGAAAACCGACAAACTGGTCGAAGAAGCAGCCAGCGAAGACAGGACTCCACGTGAACATAAACAAGACGGAGGTTGTGAAAATAACCAACCAACCTATCAACAACAACAACAAGAGCAGAAGCACCCAGCGACAATCACCATCCACGGGAGGGATTTGAAAGAGGTTACTTCATTCACTCACTTATCTAGGGAGGGAGCATTGTCTCAACTACAGGCCGTCGGAACGGACGAGGATGTCAAATCGAGCGAGAATCGGGAAGGCAGGCGAGAAACACACTCATTTGTCAACCTGAAACAGTCAATCTGGAAATCTTCGTCACTCAGCCAGAATCAACAACAAAATTCGCTCGGATTTTCAATACAAACGTAAAGTCTGTCAGTTCTTCTTTACGGATCAGAAACCTGGCGGGGGGTCACGAAGAATATTTCCAACAGCTTGTTGCAGGCCTTTATCAACCAACAACTGTCTTCGCTGGATTTATACTGAAGATCAGATGGCCAGGTCGGAAAGAATCACCAACAAGAAACTATGGGAACAAACAAAGCAAGAATGAAACAATCGCCCAACAAATATGCAAGAGAAAGTGGAGATGGATTGGACACTCGCTCGCTGAGGAGGCCGGTTGGTGACATCGCGCGCGCGTCAGGCCATTGCTCGAGTGGAACCAGGCCGAAAGGGAAGCGGCGAGGGGGACGTCAGTGCAAGGGTGACATGGGGGAGATCGTGTGAAGAGGAGTTGAAACAGTATGGACTAACATGGATGCAGGTGAAAAGTACAGCAGAAGGAAGACAGAAGTGGCAAGTGGAGACGTGCAGTTGAAGCCCTATGTTCCACTAGGAACCCAAGGGAGCAATAATAATAATAAATGCCTTATTGAAATTCATTAAAGGGACTTATTATTTTAATGTTCTTACTTCGCTGTGTGGGCAGCTATGCCTGTTTCTATGTTTGTTTGTGTGTGTGTGTGTGTGTGTGAATGTCCGCTATGAGATCATAAGGAGAAATTAAATCAATGTACTTTTTCATTAGCCTGTTTATCTACTCCACATTGCTGTATACACACTGTTTATTCATATTATAAGCAAGTATTGATTATTTTTAACGCTTAGTCATCATCTTCTATCTAACATGTCGATTTGAAAGTGTTAAAACGTTTACTTCCCACATTGTGTTTATGTACACTTTTGTTTCCAACGTCTAATCAAAAATAAATTGTTTGGTTTATGATAAAAATGTTGTTTTTTCTATTTTCAATCAGTTACTATGGTTTCTCACTCATTCTTGTTGGAAAACAGTCACCATGATATCACAGATAAATAAATTAAGTGACACAAAGATGAAGCAATAGTCACAAGGAATCGTTGTCAAATACAAAGTCGATTCGAGCAAGTCAATGAATCCAAATATCTTGAAATAAAAGACGAATCTATAAAAGAAAGAAAACAGAATAGATTGTTATTTTTCATTAGAATAGAAAAAGAAGTTGGACATTTCGTTCGACTTTACTTATCATAGACAGAAGTAGTATTTTAAATTCAATTGTGGGAACAAAAATGGAACTTGATGATATTAGATGGTCGGAGGCACTTGGCAGGAAGCCTGGCTTGACCTCGATTCGGTGCTAGTTGGCGCTCACACCAGTCAGCAAGGCGTATCTGCAATCTTTGAGAATGTCGTGTCCCTTCTGAGATTCGAACTCGTGTCAGCCGCGGTTGCAGTCAAAGACTTTGCTACTGATCTATTCAGGCTCACGATTGACCTCCTGTAGTTCTGTATTAGATAATTTGATTGGACACTAGTAACTAGTGTGATTTTAGTCTCCACCTAAGACAGGACTAGACACATCACACATCACCACTAGTGTCTAAATCAAAATGGAATTAAATATTACTAAATGAAATATTGTTTGATAAAACAAGACAGCAACAACAACAACAACAGAAAACTACCTGACTTTCAGTAGGACACCCAATTATCATACGATCTTCATCACTGTAATGATCAGTTAATAACTGATACATCGATCTCCACTGTAACAGAACACCTGACTGAATACGACGTAATAAAATACTCTCTGTATCTGGATTGGCCAAATAAATGTGTAATGCTTTTCTAAGATTGGATGGTACAGAATGTTTACCAACATCAGAACGGTTCGAATTTGAACTACGTCCAAGAGCTATACAAAGTAATCGATGTGCATTTGAAACAATGTCTTTTACAAAGGATGCATACGCAAAAGATTGATCGGTAAGACGAACACCTGGAGCAGCTAAGACTGAATAAGCCTGAAAACAATTGAAAACATTTATTTCCCGATACGAATTTCAAACAAGCAATAAAAAGGTTAATAAAGCAGGATTTTAGGAATTCATCATCAAACAAACTACATTGAATTAGTTATGCATGACTTATCAGTCTTATATCTCCCAATGTAATTTCAAAAGTACATATATATATCCGTGTATGTAGAGTATTCAGCTGATGAGTTCTACCGAAATTTGATGAATCTATCATTAAATCCTGCTTTATTAACCTGAAAACAATTGTTGTTACAGCATAAAATTAAACAGTTTAGTTGTCGTTAATATTCACATTCATAACTAACTGAGTGATAATGAATAGAAATTAAAATCTACTATTACACATAATTCCAGTTATTTTTTCAACATAAATTACATGAAATAAGTGTTGATTAATAACAGCAAATGAACTAATAAATTTACATTGGATTAGTTGAAAGTAGTAGCGCATAGATGAAATGATCTCATGTCAACGTTTAAAGTGTCTGACTCAGATGGCATGATGAGGATTTTAACTATAATATTATTTTCTAACTGCAAAACTATGCGAAAATATTTGCTCCCAATGAACATATATGACTTCTATAGTTTTATTTACTTTTTCGAATGAACATAACTTATGAATTCCCCCTGTTACTTGCCTGTTACACATGAATGTAAACAATGAATTTGATTTAGACCCTATGGATAAGAATGACTAGGAGTATTAAGGCAGTTCCGATAAAAACCTTTTAGATAGCATTAATAAAAATTGGAGTTGACTATCATACTTTTGCTTAGACAACTTAGACTAAAAGATTTTCTCTGAGTATAAGAGAATGAATGACTTGACAATATAATAATAATAATAATAATAATAATAGTAGCAAGCAGATGAACCGACCCCGTCTCTTTGCATACTGTAAGCGTTTAGTATTCACAAGACTTTATTTTGTCTCTCTAGCAATTTTAAAAGAGGCTAAAGGGGCATAATAATCTCTGAAAGATGTGTGATTTCCGTGTGATGCACGTGTGATGTACGTTCGACATATCAATGATAGACACACCATCATTAACAACAACTTTTAAAATAACTATACTTGAATACACCTTAAAACAATCTGTCCATAAATATCCACCCACCCACCCACTACTACTAATCACAATCCCGGACACTTTGTATGCGATTTCAAACAATATACTACCTTATTGTTCATATATTACAAGATTGGGTGGGATTCTAATTTGAGATCTGTCATGACGAGGTGTTACTGCGTTGTGAATTCATTAAACCTGAATAGTATGCGCCTCGAGAACACGATACTGTAGTGTTAACTGACCATTTGGAATTATCTCCCACACTGAGATAGACACAAATGTCAGACTGCGGTAATAATGACGATCGGAATGACAACGACAACTTTTATTAGACAAAATACATGTCATATTATTATATTTACCAAACATTCAAGAATTTAAGCCATAAACAAAACATTTCAACATTTCAACTGTGGTTCAAATTATATAGGGCGCACGAGTAGGCAGGTTCGTCTACGGGTTCGAGAACACTTATCAGCTTGGTTCAGCAAGGCGGAAATTAAGTGCATAAGAAGCTCGATCCTGTCACACTTGGTCGATACTGGACATCGTATCGATGTGAACACAGCTTCCAGGGTTATATACCGAATTCCGAAGTCGTTATCACGTACAGTTCGCTTACGTCTCCTACACATAGCTGGAGCTGTTGCAATAAGATCGACTAAACCGGAACTTTGTATCCACAAAGAACACGTCCAGACGCTGTTCCTAACGTGGCCAAACTTGGATTGATGATTTTTCTTCTCACCAAGAGTGCTCCTCCCCTTAACCCTCTCGGTTTTTTTACTTTGCTTATTATTACAAATATTATTATTATTATTATTACAGTTATTATTATTATTATTCGTCATAATTTATGCTCAATACTATCGAATTTTTCATTTATACGGACTTAGAATTAGTGATATTATCTGTTTTCTCAATATGAGCCTCCACCTGTTTCATTTAACATATTCATTATCTCATTATGAACCTCTCATTGCAGTCTTACTATCTCCTGTTTAACACAGACCACTTTGTACTAGCCACTCACTCACCTGACACCTTCTATGACCTTGAACTGGATTCGTCAATTTTCCTACCCCACACTCTACAAATCTATTATGACTAATCATCACCACCACTGTCCCCCGTTTTACAATATTTTCTAATCGATTTCAGCCTAGCATGTTTGTCACACTCAAATACGACTATTTATTTTGACACCCCATAGCTGTTAATCTGTTATTCTACGTTAAAAATGTCTCCTCCGCCGCATAACTGGCCTTTATTGTGCGTCGGTGACACAGTGGTTAGGAATCTCGCCGACCATGCACATGGTCCGAGGTTCGATTCCCTCCCGACGCACACTTCATATCTATGGTCGGCCTTCAAAATTTGGGCTACCGATATTCATCCTGAAAATTCCATACTTGCTCCAAAAATACAGTGTAGAATCAAGCTGTTATCAAAAATAAATAATAAAAATAAAATAAATATATTTTATAATTGTAAGAACCTGAAGAGAAATTATTCAAAAGAATATTCTTCGTTCAGATTGACTTTCAATTCAATTCATAAACAAAACAGACTACATTTGTTATATGACATAGAAATCCCCCAGAAAACTCAGCCATCGATTAACGAATCAAAACTATCCAATAACGTAATTATGTCAGTACATGCATAAATCACGACTTGTCGATATTATGTGGTTGGAGGCAGTCGGCAGGAAGCCTGGCTTCACCTAGATTTCGTGCTAGTTGGAACTCATCAACGAGCCAACTGGCATGGTGGTCACATTGCGAAATTGGCTGATAGAATTCAGTTTTCAGTAGACAAAAGACTAGACACATGACACTAGTGTCAGTGTCCTAGGAAATATACACCCCATGCATTAATTACCAATATTATTTATACTTACCCTTTTAAGGAAATTTGACATTTCACCTGTTAATTGTGCTACCTGTTGTTCAATAAGTAATTCACATGTATATTTCAATTGACTATCCAACTGACGCCTAGAATCCACTTCAATATCAATTGCATTTGGAGTTTCCAACAAAAATCTCAATAAGGCATTCTCTCGACTTAGTGAAAACAAACCACTTCCTCTATGTTCCCAAATATGACGTGCAACATCTGTAAATAAGTTAAATAATTGAACAAAATAAGAATTTATATACAAACTGAATTGGATAGTGTGAAGAAATATTTTTAGTAAATATAGTTCGTGTGTATTAGTGGTATTTTTTAGAATTAGTTAGCTAGTTAGTAATTGCAGAAGATATCATGACCTGGATGTTCAAATATCGCGAGAATTAGCTCCAGTTGTTGAAAGTATATCCACTGCCTAAATCTCAGCGATGTGAAACACAAATATCTTTATCATAGTCACCATGAAATAGGCATTTATTACAGTTAGATACAGTCAACAGACAATAAGCATTTAGCGAAATTCCGGTGTAGTCATGTTAAACAACCCAAGAATGGCATACGAGAACGAAATAAATTCTGAAGGCCTAAGTGACTGAGCGGTTTCCACATAGAAATTTGCGCGAATGTGCAGCAGTTTGAGTTGCTTTTGATTATAGCTTGATTCCACACCGTATTTTTGGTACAAGTATGAGATTTTCAGCATACGATATCGCTAACCCAAATTTTCCAGGCCGGCCACTGATATCAGGTGTGCGTTGGCAGCGAATCGAACCCAGGACCATGTGCATGGTCGGCGAGAGTCCTAACCGCTGGGCCACCGACACACAATGACAGTCAGTTGACCATATCATTTCTCAGATTGAAAGAAATAGTATTTGCATTCGCTACTGTTCCCACATACTCAATAAGTGACATTGTAGATCAACAATGCACCTGAGGCATTGAGAACGATTTTGAGCCACATCCCCAATTGTCTCCAGCCTTCATTGGTTCCTACCATCTCGATGACCCCAACCAGTCAACTAGGAAGTCTACACCTCCCTATGTGACTGGCTGGCTGCCTTAAATCAACTGTTGTGGATTTCTTCATTGACTGATGAAACCGTGTTTTGGTTTGACCACCACTAGCTCTTTTCCTCAAAGTTCGTAAGAAGTGTCAACCTACATGGATTAACTAACTACATGTATGTGTGTGTGTGTGTCTTTACCACCCGGCTGATCACTTTCAAAGTTCTGTGTTGAAGCCAGTCAATCAGTCAGGCGCCGTCAATATCCAGAAGACAAAAAATATAAAAATCACAGGATTGTTTCGAAAGCACAAGGCAGTTAAATATTAATAATAAGTGGAACGAAGTGGAAGACATTGCACAAAAGTCCAAGTAATTGGTGTAGAAGTTGTGAAAATATTGAAGAGGTAGACTCCATGGAAAATGAGAAGGCAGTAAGTAGTTGGGACTAGCCAATTCCCCTCACTGTTCCTTATTCAACCTGAACTACAACTTTGTCAATGATTTTAGGAAAAGATGTTATACTACTCACCAATAATAAGTAGTTTTAAAATATGCATGACAATATTATTATTATTATTTTCATCCTCGACAGCATCTCCCAGTATGGCTATGTAAAATTGTAGTGAAAAACAACGGGTATCAAAGAAACCACGAAAAACATCGAGGTGCGGCATGCTCCAAACAGCAGAGGCTATCGCGGTTCGCATGAAACAGTATGTGCTTTGTGTGCAAAAGAAGCAAGCCCATCTAGCCAATATTACTGCCCTGGCCAGACTTTAGTAGAGACTATAACTTCATGAATTTGTGTGATCGTTATCTTTCCTAACCCTTCTGATATTCAGTGTATTGTCATATTGATGCTATTGACTGTAATCTATTGTTATTATCGATTCGATGTTATTTTAACAGCATAATGTTGTTAATAACACGAATTCCTTCATACACTATATTGTGTGTATATATAGCAGTAGAACCTGACGATGAAGTTAACGAAAAGCGTATTCTTTGTTCAGTAACCATTCTTCAGAAAATTTTAATGGACATTTTTAATCAGTTCAAATACAATTTACGTTACTCATTGGAGGTAATTAGCATAAATTTTGATGCAGTAGAAGGCATGACAAGAGGAAAATAGGAAAGAAAGCAACAGTGTAATTACCTAAAATATTGGAAACATTTATTGCAGTTTTCTTTTACTTTTGTTATAATAATGCGCATTAATACTCAGTTACCATCATTGCCTTGTGAAGTTAGGACGCTGGAAGCGTTTAGTTTGAGTTTATGTCTATGATGCAGTAGTGTCGTCTTTAACTCTGTATTCTCCGCTGATTTCTCGATTTCTTTGGCCTCACTTATCATCTAGATTACTGTCTTAGAAGTAGGATCCGACTTGGGGAGGTGAACAAGTTGTAAGAGATCTTGGTCCAAAACGTTTACTGCATATGCGACCTCTAGTAGTTCGGCCTCATTTTCTGAACTCAACAAGAAGTCAACTATTACATTTTTTCCTGGAATATGTCTAATCCTAAAATCATACTCTTGTAGGCGTGGCATTCATCGTGACAACTTCCCTCGAGGGTCCGTCGCTGTATTCGGCCACTGTAGAGGTTTTTGGTCAGTCTCAATGTGGAATCGGTGGCCGATCACGTACATTCTCTATTTTTCTAGTGCCCACACAACAGCTAGACACTCGTTTCCTTTTCCAACGTAGAATGCTTTTGCTCTGCAGGTGTTAACACACGGCTACCCCGTCCGTTTGTCTTAAAACAACACCTAAACCATAATCACTCGTATCTGTCGAAACTGTCAACTGCTTCCCAGGTACTGGCAATTTCAATGTCATCTGTTGACCATCTGACAGCTCTTCAATTCGATTAAACGTTTGCTGCGCCCCAGTCGTCCACGTGAATTTCGCGTTACTCAACAACCTATATAGTGGCCTCGCCATCTCGCTGAAATTTTTGACAAACCGGCTGTAGAATGCCACTCTTCTCAAAAACTGTCTCAGCCTTCGTTTCGAATATGGTACTTCACTGGTTTTGACGGTCAGGATTTTCTCAGGCAATGGTCGTATTTCCCCATTTCTCACTCTATAACCCAGGAGGACAACAGTCTTTTTGGCTATTTGTGACTTGCTCTTATTAATATGCAGCCAGAATTCATCAATTCTCTTCAAGATGGCTTCGATTTGGTCTAGATGATGGCCTCCTCTCTCACTACACACAACCAAGTCATCTCCATATACTCCTACGTCCTTCAGACCCTTCAGTAATAAGGTCATTAATCTTCTGAACATAAATGGGGCGCCTACCAATCCAAACGGTATTCGTCTAAACTGGTATTGTTTCCGTCCAACCGTGAACACTGTTTCGCTTCGGTCACTTTCTGTTATTGGGATCTGCCAGTAACCCCATCTTAGTTAGAAAACGGTGAATAACTTAGCCTTCTGAAGGCGATCAAGGGTTTCTGTTACGATTGATAATGCACACTGCTTTACTTCAATGAGGCTATACAGCTATCTGAAATCGACACAAAATCTATACTTTCCGTTAGCCTTCTTTACCAAAAGGATCGGAGAACTATACGGGCTATCGGCTTCTTCTATTATTCCGTCACTTAGCATTTTTTTGACTTGTCAGTTAACTTCTTCTTCTTCTAGGTGCACAGGAACTCGTTGTGCTGAGAAAGCTGCCTTCCCCGGGTCCTTCAGTGGGATGTCATGCTTTACCTCATCACAACATCCGTAGGGTTTTCCATCTCCAGTGAATAAGCACGCATATTCACTCAACAAAATGATTACATTTGGTGCTTCTTTCGGAACAAGCATTGTGGCTTCTTCCTCAGCAACTTCACTGTTCTCATGCATCGCAAACTGCCCATGGTTTCTGATCACTCTCCGATTCTTAACATCGACTACAGCGCCTACTTCTCTGAGGAAGTTCGCCGTATATTTGACGTTACAATGAACGGATATCGCATTTCCTTTGCTCCGGTCTCTACAACGCAGTCGGAAACACCAAGAATCTGTAAAGAATTTTCCCCTACCGTCTCAACCGCTAATGTGCACGCCCTTGCTTCCTCACACTGTTCTCTACCTACGAAAGAAACTGCTGCCTGTGTGTCAGTCAAACAGACTAGTTCTCTCCCATTAACCTGTAATTGTCCGTACTCAGCACCTCTTTCAACTAATCCCACAATCCCCAAACGCAAACGAGGAAAACAAGGAAGACTGTATCGTTTGAAGTTTTTTGCTTTCGTTTCAGGCAATTTGTCTTCCAGTGACCGGTTCCTCAGCAATCGAAACATCTGTTGTTGCTTCTTTCTCGTATTTGGGTAGCTTTGCCCTCTATTGTCTCACTCCAACCAGGTCCGCGAAGGTCTCGAAGTCCCTGAGGAATGTCCGAACCTATTCTTCCTCGGACATCTGGGGCCATTGCACCTTCGTCTCTGGCAGAGGCAGGCACACCAATTGTAAGGAAGAAAAGACTGATCAGGCTCGAGGGAGTCTTTACTAGGACAAACGAATTGTAGGTACATAAATGCTTTATTTGCACATCTTTTGGAAATTGGTCAAATATCAGCCCATTCGATAGCTTGTTGAGTTCTGCACAGTGTTTGTAACGTTCTTTTAACAGGTCTGTTCTTCCATTGCTTTTTCCAGTTTCGGAAGCATATTCATGCATTACCTGATCTCGTCACTGATATACTACTTATATCTGTCTATAAGTAGCACTCACCACAATACTATTACTAATGAGAATGTAGCCTAATAGGGCCACGTACTGACGAAGCAGAACACAATTATAAGGACAAGGATCCTTCCTATACGCTAAAATATCATTAGGAGTAATGTATTAGTAGTTGTTGTTCAGACTGACCAATCAATTCGCCTGAATACAATAAACATGACATATAAATATAATATACGCAAAATAATGACAGCATAAATGCACAACCGACTTTTGTATGGTGAAAAATCCAAACTAGTCTCCTTGACTAAGAACTCAATACTGAATGGTGCCATTTGTTCACGAAGTATAAGAAGATGTTTAATGAGAAATAATTGTCCATCAAGTTCTGTCCGACGAAGGCTGATTGCATCGCTTGCTTTCACCAACGACTGAACGCACATCGACACACATTCTTTGGCTAAACCACGGAATGAGTCAGTCTATCAAGGAAATGAAATACATAAATTCAAAAAACTTTGAAATATGTTCAACAGGATTTGATGATCATGGATTAATTTACTTCGACCTAGTGGTCAGATGATGAGGTGTTCAGTTAAAACCTGGAGATCCTAAGCACAATGCTTTGCGGTGTAGACAAGTTACACAACCCAAGACTTGCATACGAGAACGAAACAAACTCTGAGTCGTTAACTGACTGACTGATTTCAGCATAGAACTTTGCCACGATGCCCAGAAGTTCGAGCCGCCACACCTCATGCATTGTACCACACAAACTAAGAAACGACAGTGAAGGAAGATTCAAAACAGATATAATAAACGCACACATATCAGGCAAAAAGAATAGTCATATCGAAAAACAATATTGTTTTATCGTTGGATATGATAAGTAAGTCACAAGGAGAGGATGCATCCGCGCTATTCACAACGACGATTTTCAGCCATATCACCAATTGTCTCCAGTCTTCATTGGGTCCCACCATCCCGATGACTCCAACCACCCAACTAGGAAGTCTACACCTCCCTACGTGACTGGCTGGCTGGCTGGCCAGCAAGTCAATGAATCCAAATATCTTGAAATAAAAGACGAATCTATAAAAGAAAGAAAACAGAATAGATTGTTATTTTTCATTAGAATAGAAAAAGAAGTTGAACATTTCGTTCGACTTTACTTATCATAGACAGAAGTAGTATTTTAAATTCAATTGTGGGAACAAAAATGGAACTTGATGATATTAGATGGTCGGAGGCACTTAGTTGGCGCTCACACCAGTCAGCAAGGCGTATCTGCAATCTTTGAGAATGTCGTGTCCCTTCTGAGATTCGAACTCGTGTCAGCCGCGGTTGCAGTCAAAGACTTTGCTACTGATCTATTCAGGCTCACGATTGACCTCCTGTAGTTCTGTATTAGATAATTTGATTGGACACTAGTAACTAGTGTGATTTTAGTCTCCACCTAAGACAGGACTAGACACATCACACATCACCACTAGTGTCTAAATCAAAATGGAATTAAATATTACTAAATGAAATATTGTTTGATAAAACAAGACAGCAACAACAACAACAACAGAAAACTACCTGACTTTCAGTAGGACACCCAATTATCATACGATCTTCATCACTGTAATGATCAGTTAATAACTGATACATCGATCTCCACTGTAACAGAACACCTGACTGAATACGACGTAATAAAATACTCTCTGTATCTGGATTGGCCAAATAAATGTGTAATGCTTTTCTAAGATTGGATGGTACAGAATGTTTACCAACATCAGAACGGTTCGAATTTGAACTACGTCCAAGAGCTATACAAAGTAATCGATGTGCATTTGAAACAATGTCTTTTACAAAGGATGCATACGCAAAAGATTGATCGGTAAGACGAACACCTGGAGCAGCTAAGACTGAATAAGCCTGAAAACAATTGAAAACATTTATTTCCCGATACGAATTTCAAACAAGCAATAAAAAGGTTAATAAAGCAGGATTTTAGGAATTCATCATCAAACAAACTACATTGAATTAGTTATGCATGACTTATCAGTCTTATATCTCCCAATGTAATTTCAAAAGTACATATATATATCCGTGTATGTAGAGTATTCAGCTGATGAGTTCTACCGAAATTTGATGAATCTATCATTAAATCCTGCTTTATTAACCTGAAAACAATTGTTGTTACAGCATAAAATTAAACAGTTTAGTTGTCGTTAATATTCACATTCATAACTAACTGAGTGATAATGAATAGAAATTAAAATCTACTATTACACATAATTCCAGTTATTTTTTCAACATAAATTACATGAAATAAGTGTTGATTAATAACAGCAAATGAACTAATAAATTTACATTGGATTAGTTGAAAGTAGTAGCGCATAGATGAAATGATCTCATGTCAACGTTTAAAGTGTCTGACTCAGATGGCATGATGAGGATTTTAACTATAATATTATTTTCTAACTGCAAAACTATGCGAAAATATTTGCTCCCAATGAACATATATGACTTCTATAGTTTTATTTACTTTTTCGAATGAACATAACTTATGAATTCCCCCTGTTACTTGCCTGTTACACATGAATGTAAACAATGAATTTGATTTAGACCCTATGGATAAGAATGACTAGGAGTATTAAGGCAGTTCCGATAAAAACCTTTTAGATAGCATTAATAAAAATTGGAGTTGACTATCATACTTTTGCTTAGACAACTTAGACTAAAAGATTTTCTCTGAGTATAAGAGAATGAATGACTTGACAATATAATAATAATAATAATAATAATAATAGTAGCAAGCAGATGAACCAACCCCGTCTCTTTGCATACTGTAAGCGTTTAGTATTCACAAGACTTTATTTTGTCTCTCTAGCAATTTTAAAAGAGGCTAAAGGGGCATAATAATCTCTGAAAGATGTGTGATTTCCGTGTGATGCACGTGTGATGTACGTTCGACATATCAATGATAGACACACCATCATTAACAACAACTTTTAAAATAACTATACTTGAATACACCTTAAAACAATCTGTCCATAAATATCCACCCACCCACCCACTACTACTAATCACAATCCCGGACACTTTGTATGCGATTTCAAACAATATACTACCTTATTGTTCATATATTACAAGATTGGGTGGGATTCTAATTTGAGATCTGTCATGACGAGGTGTTACTGCGTTGTGAATTCATTAAACCTGAATAGTATGCGCCTCGAGAACACGATACTGTAGTGTTAACTGACCATTTGGAATTATCTCCCACACTGAGATAGACACAAATGTCAGACTGCGGTAATAATGACGATCGGAATGACAACGACAACTTTTATTAGACAAAATACATGTCATATTATTATATTTACCAAACATTCAAGAATTTAAGCCATAAACAAAACATTTCAACATTTCAACTGTGGTTCAAATTATATAGGGCGCACGAGTAGGCAGGTTCGTCTACGGGTTCGAGAACACTTATCAGCTTGGTTCAGCAAGGCGGAAATTAAGTGCATAAGAAGCTCGATCCTGTCACACTTGGTCGATACTGGACATCGTATCGATGTGAACACAGCTTCCAGGGTTATATACCGAATTCCGAAGTCGTTATCACGTACAGTTCGCTTACGTCTCCTACACATAGCTGGAGCTGTTTCAATAAGATCGACTAAACCGGAACTTTGTATCCACAAAGAACACGTCCAGACGCTGTTCCTAACGTGGCCAAACTTGGATTGATGATTTTTCTTCTCACCAAGAGTGCTCCTCCCCTTAACCCTCTCGGTGTTTTTTACTTTGCTTATTATTACAAATATGATTAGTATTATTATTATTATTACAGTTATTATTATTATTCGTCATAATTTATGCTCAATACTATCGAATTTTTCATTTATACGGACTTAGAATTAGTGATATTATCTGTTTTCTCAATATGAGCCTCCACCTGTTTCATTTAACATATTCATTATCTCATTATGAACCTCTCATTGCAGTCTTACTATCTCCTGTTTAACACAGACCACTTTGTACTAGCCACTCACTCACCTGACACCTTCTATGACCTTGAACTGGATTCGTCAATTTTCCTACCCCACACTCTACAAATCTATTATGACTAATCATCACCACCACTGTCCCCGTTTTACAATATTTTCTAATCGATTTCAGCCTAGCATGTTTGTCACACTCAAATACGACTATTTATTTTGACACCCCATAGCTGTTAATCTGTTATTCTACGTTAAAAATGTCTCCTCCGCCGCATAACTGGCCTTTATTGTGCGTCGGTGACACAGTGGTTAGGAATCTCGCCGACCATGCACATGGTCCGAGGTTCGATTCCCTCCCGACGCACACTTCATATCTATGGTCGGCCTTCAAAATTTGGGCTACCGATATTCATCCTGAAAATTCCATACTTGCTCCAAAAATACAGTGTAGAATCAAGCTGTTATCAAAAATAAATAATAAAAATAAAATAAATATATTTTATAATTGTAAGAACCTGAAGAGAAATTATTCAAAAGAATATTCTTCGTTCAGATTGACTTTCAATTCAATTCATAAACAAAACAGACTACATTTGTTATATGACATAGAAATCCCCCAGAAAACTCAGCCATCGATTAACGAATCAAAACTGTCCAATAACGTAATTATGTCAGTACATGCACAAATCACGACTTGTCGATATTATGTGGTTGGAGGCAGTCGGCAGGAAGCCTGGCTTCACCTAGATTTCGTGCTAGTTGGAACTCATCAGCGAGCCAACTGGCATAGTGGTCACATTGCGAAATTGGCTGATAGAATTCAGTTTTCAGTAGACAAAAGACTAGACACATGACACTAGTGTCAGTGTCCTAGGAAATATACACCCCATGCATTAATTACCAATATTATTTATACTTACCCTTTTAAGGAAATTTGACATTTCACCTGTTAATTGTGCTACCTGTTGTTCAATAAGTAATTCACATGTATATTTCAATTGACTATCCAACTGACGCCTAGAATCCACTTCAATATCAATTGCATTTGGAGTTTCCAACAAAAATCTCAATAAGGCATTCTCTCGACTTAGTGAAAACAAACCACTTCCTCTATGTTCCCAAATATGACGTGCAACATCTGTAAATAAGTTGAATAATTGAAAAAAATAAGAATTTATATACAAACTGAATTGGATAGTGAAAAGAAATATTTTTAGTAAATATAGATCGTGTGTACTAGTGGTATTTTTAAGAGTTAGTTAGCTAGTTAGTAATTGCAAAAGAAGTCATGACCTGAATGTTCAATTATCGTGAGAATTAGCTCCAGTTGTTGAAAGTATATCCACTGCCTAAATCTCAGCGATGTGAAACACAAATATCTTTATCATAGTCACCATGAAATAAGCATTTCTTACAGTTAGATACAGTCAACAGACAATTAGCATTTAGCGAAATTCCGGTGTAGTCATGTTAAACAACCCAAGAATGGCATACGACAAGGAAGCAAATTTTGAAGACTTAAGTGACTGAGCAGTTTCAACATAGAAATTTGTGCGAATGTGCAGCAGTTTGAGTTGCTTTTGATTATAGCTTGATTCCACACCGTATTTTTGGTACAAGTATGAGATTTTCAGTATACGATATCGCTAACCCAAATTTCCAGGCCGGCCACTGATATCAGGTGTGCGTTGGCAACGAATCGAACCCAGGCCATGTGCATGGTCAGCGAGAGTCCTAACCGCTGGGCCACCGACACACAATGACAGTCAGTTGACCATATCATTTCTCAGATTGAAAGAAATAGTATTTGCATTCGCTACTGTTCCCACATACTCAATAAGTGACACTGTAGATCAACAATGCACCTGAGGCATTGAGAACGATTTTGAGCCACATCCCCAATTGTCTCCAGCCTTCATTGGTTCCTACCATCTCGATGACCCCAACCAGTCAACTAGGAAGTCTACACCTCCCTTGATGGCTGGCTGGCTGGCTGCCTTAAATCAACTGTTGTGGATTTCTTCATTGACTGATGAAACCGTGTTTTGGTTTGACCACCACTAGCTCTTTTCCTCAAAGTTCGTAAGAAGTGTCAACCTACACGGATTAACTAACTACATGTATGTGTGTGTGTGTGTCTTTACCACCCGGCTGATCACTTTCAAAGTTCTGTGTTGAAGCCAGTCAATCAGTCAGGCGCCGTCAATATCCAGAAGACAAAAAATATAAAAATCACAGGATTGTTTCGAAAGCACAAGGCAGTTAAATATTAATAATAAGTGGAACGAAGTGGAAGACATTGCACAAAAGTCCAAGTAATTGGTGTAGAAGTTGTGAAAATATTTGAAGAGGGTAGACTCCATGGAAAATGAGAAGGCAGTAAGTAGTTGGGACTAGCCAATTCCCTCACTGTTCCTTATTCAACCTGAACTACAACTTTGTCAATGATTTTAGGAAAAGATGTTATACTACTCACCAATAATAAGTAGTTTTAAAATATGCATGACAATATTATTATTATTATTTTCATCCTCGACAGCATCTCCCAGTATGGCTATGTAAAATTGTAGTGAAAAACAACGGGTATCAAAGAAACCACGAAAAACATCGAGGTGCGGCATGCTCCAAACAGCAGAGGCTATCGCGGTTCGCATGAAACAGTATGTGCTTTGTGTGCAAAAGAAGCAAGCCCATCTAGCCAATATTACTGCCCTGGCCAGACTTTAGTAGAGACTATAACTTCATGAATTTGTGTGATCGTTATCTTTCCTAACCCTTCTGATATTCAGTGCATTGTCATATAGATGCAATTGACTTTTTTTTATCGATTCGATGTTATTTTAACAGCATAATGTTGTTAATAACACGAATTCCTTCATACACTATATTGTGTGTATATATAGCAGTAGAACCTGACGATGAAGTTAACGAAAAGCGTATTCTTTGTTCAGTAACCATTCTTCAGAAAATTTTAATGGACATTTTTAATCAGTTCAAATACAATTTACGTTACTCATTGGAGGTAATTAGCATAAATTTTGATGCAGTAGAAGGCATGACAAGAGGAAAATAGGAAAGAAAGCAACAGTGTAATTACCTAAAATATTGGAAACATTTATTGCAGTTTTCTTTTACTTTTGTTATAATAATGCGCATTAACATTCAGTTACCATCATTGCCTTGTGAAGTTAGGACGCTGGAAGCGTTTAGTTTGAGTTTATGTCTATGATGCAGTAGTGTCGTCTTTAACTCTGTATTCTCCGCTGATTTCTCGATTTCTTTGGCCTCACTTATCATCTAGATTACTGTCTTAGAAGTAGGATCCGACTTGGGGAGGTGAACAAGTTGTAAGAGATCTTGGTCCAAAACGTTTACTGCATATGCGACCTCTAGTAGTTCGGCCTCATTTTCTGAACTCAACAAGAAGTCAACTATTACATTTTTTCCTGGAATATGTCTAATCCTAAAATCATACTCTTGTAGGCGTGGCATTCATCGTGACAACTTCCCTCGAGGGTCCGTCGCTGTTTTCGGCCACTGTAGATGTTTTTGGTCAGTCTCAATGTGGAATCGGTGGCCGATCACGTACATTCTCTATTTTTCTAGTGCCTACACAACAGCTAGACACTCGTTTCCTTTTCCAACGTAGAATAATTTTGCTCTGCAAGTGTTAACACACGGCTACCCCGTCCGTTTGTCTTAAAACAACACCTAAACCATAATCACTCGTATCTGTCGAAACTGTCAACTGCTTCCCAGGTACTGGCAATTTCAATGTCATCTGTTGACCATCTGACAGCTCTTCAATTCGATTAAACGTTTGCTGCGCCTCAGTCGTCCACGTGAATTTCGCGTTACTCAACAACCTATATAGTGGCCTCGCCATCTCGCTTAAATTTTTGACAAACCGGCTGTAGAATGCCACTCTTCTCAAAAACTGTCTCAGCCTTCGTTTCGAATATGGTACTTCACTGGTTTTGACGGTCAGGATTTTCTCAGGCAATGGTCGTATTTCCCCATTTCTCACTCTATAAACCAGGAGGACAACAGTCTTTTTGGCTATTTGTGACTTGCTCTTATTAATATGCAGCCAGAATTCATCAATTCTCTTCAAGATGGCTTCGATATGGTCTAGATGATGGCCTCCTCTCTCACTACACACAACCAAGTCATCTCCATATACTCCTACGTCCTTCAGACCCTTCAGTAATAAGGTCATTAATCTTCTGAACATAAATGGGGCGCCTACCAATCCAAACGGTATTCGTCTAAACTGGTATTGTTTCCGTCCAACCGTGAACACTGTTTCGCTTCGGTCACTTTCTGTTATTGGGATCTGCCAGTAACCCCATCTTAGTTAGAAAACGGTGAATAACTTAGCCTTCTGAAGGCGATCAAGGGTTTCTGTTGCGGTTGATATTGCACACTGTTTTACTTCAATGAGGCTATACAGCTGACTGAAATCGATACAAAATCTATACTTTCCGTTAGCCTTCTTTACCAAAAGGATCAGAGAACTATACGGGCTATCGGCTTCTTCTATTATTCCGTCACTTAGCATTTTTTTGACTTGTCAGTTAACTTCTTCTTCTTCTAGGTGCACAGGAACTCGTTGTGCTGAGAAAGCTGCCTTCCCCGGGTCCTTCAGTGGGATGTCATGCTTTACCTCATCACAACATCCGTAGGGTTTTCCATTTCCAGTGAATAAGCACGCATATTCACTCAACAAAATGATTACATTTGGTGCTTCTTTCGGAACAAGCATTGTGGCTTCTACCTCAGCAACTTCACTGTTCTCATGCATCGCAAACTGCCCATGGTTTCTGATCACTCTCCGATTCTTAACATCGACTACAGCGCCTACTTCTCTGAGGAAGTTCGCTGTATATTTGACGTTACAATGAACGGATATCGCATTTCCTTTGCTCCGGTCTCTACAACGCAGTCGGAAACACCAAGAATCTGTAAAGAATTTTCTCCTACCGTCTCAACCGCTAATGTGCACGCCCTTGCTTCCTCACACTGTTCTCTACCTACTAAAGAAACTGCTGCCTGTGTGTCAATCAAACAGACTAGTTCTCTCCCATTAACCTGTAATTGTCCGTACACAGCACCTCTTTCAACTAATCCCACAATCCCCAAACGCAAACGAGGAAAACAAGGAAGACTGTATCGTTTGAAGTTTTTTGCTTTCGTTTCAGGCAATTTGTCTTCCAGTGACCGGTTCCTCAGCAATCGAAACATCTGTTGTTGCTTCTTTCTCGTATTTGGGTAGCTTTGCCCTCTATTGTCTCACTCCAACCAGGTCCGCGAAGGTCTCGAAGTCCCTGAGGAATGTCCGAACCTATTCTTCCTCGGACATCTGGGGCCATTGCACCTTCGTCTCTGGCAGAGGCAGGCACACCAATTGTAAGGAAGAAAAGACTGATCAGGCTCGAGGGAGTCTTTACTAGGACAAACGAATTGTAGGTACATAAATGCTTTATTTGCACATCTTTTGGAAATTGGTCAAATATCAGCCCATTCGATAGCTTGTTGAGTTCTGCACAGTGTTTGTAACGTTCTTTTAACAGGTCTGTTCTTCCATTGCTTTTTCCAGTTTCGGAAGCATATTTCTGCATTACCTGATCTCGTCACTGATATACTACTTATATCTGTCTATAAGTAGCACTCACCACAATACTATTACTAATGAGAATGTAGCCTAATAGGGCCACGTACTGACGAAGCAGAACACAATTATAAGGACAAGGATCCTTCCTATACGCTAAAATATCATTAGGAGTAATGTATTAGTAGTTGTTGTTCAGACTGACCAATCAATTCGCCTGAATACAATAAACATGACATATAAATATAATATACGCAAAATAATGACAGCATAAATGCACAACCGACTTTTGTATGGTGAAAAATCCAAACTAGTCTCCTTGACTAAGAACTCAATACTGAATGGTGCCATTTGTTCACGAAGTATAAGAAGATGTTTAATGAGAAATAATTGTCCATCAAGTTCTGTCCGACGAAGGCTGATTGCATCGCTTGCTTTCACCAACGACTGAACGCACATCGACACACATTCTTGGGCTAAACCACGGAATGAGTCAGTCTATCAAGGAAATGAAATACATAAATTCAAAAAACTTTGAAATATGTTCAACAGGATTTGATGATCATGGATTAATTTACTTCGACCTAGTGGTCAGATGATGAGGTGTTCAGTTAAAACCTGGAGATCCTAAGCACAATGCTTTGCGGTGTAGACAAGTTACACAACCCAAGACTTGCATACGAGAACGAAACAAACTCTGAGTCGTTAACTGACTGACTGATTTCAGCATAGAACTTTGCCACGATGCCCAGAAGTTCGAGCCGCCACACCTCATGCATTGTACCACACAAACTAAGAAACGACAGTGAAGGAAGATTCAAAACAGATATAATAAACGCACACATATCAGGCAAAAAGAATAGTCATATCGAAAAACAATATTGTTTTATCGTTGGATATGATAAGTAAGTCACAAGGAGAGGATGCATCCGCGCTATTCACAACGACGATTTTCAGCCATATCACCAATTGTCTCCAGTCTTCATTGGGTCCCACCATCCCGATGACTCCAACCACCCAACTAGGAAGTCTACACCTCCCTACGTGACTGGCTGGCTGACTGGCCTAAACTAACTGTTGTGGATTTCTTCATTGACTGATGAAGCCATGTTTTCCTTTGACTACCACTGGCTCTTTTTCAACCTGATCCATTCTATGTCAGCTAACATTTCCCGTTGAGGAAGGCGATGGATGGCTAGGCATACATAGCACATATCCTCACCATCTCAATCGATGTAACTTCACAGCCTGGTCGACTGATTTCCTCCTTACCTCGAACTCGACCGATGCCTAACCTCAATATTGCTCACCCTAATATACCATTTCACACGGAAGATAGAAACCAGACACCCATGATCAAGGACAGCTAGCCAGGCTTTCACTGTCTTCCACTTTCAATGGCCAGGTGTCACAACTGGCCATAAAGGAGGACAGAGAGAACTGGTGAGCAGTACACACGACCTTCGGTCGACAGCCAGCCGGATATCACGTCCACTAACCCAGAGACGGCGTAAACTGGCACATGCGAAACGAGCTCTCTGTATTCGTCCTGAGATTAAGTCAGCGATCAACCCACTGGCGATGGCTGATGAAACTCCACAAATAAGTGAAGTGGTCAACACTTTCTACCACTTCACTCCCTTTCTATCTTTAAGCTAGGAGTCGATTTAGTCCAGTCCAGTTCAGTTCACTCCAGCCCAGTCCTGTCCTGTCCTGTAGCATCATCTTACATTTGACAGGAGCGAGTCGTATTCCGAAAATTCCAAGATTTTTCTTCATGGTGTTCAGAAGACTCTGCACTTTGTCAGCGTCTTCACCTAGCCGGACTACGTCATTCGCATATTATAAGTCAACGAGATTATACCCTAGTAACAAGTCAATCTCTGAGTCGCTGAAGTTAGTTAGGATTAAGTCCATTAATACATCTAGGATGAAATGAAATAGAAATGGGGAGAGTGAGCATCCCTGACGGACACCACTAGTTGTCACCACTTCAGATGACAACTTTCCTTAGACACTTAGCTGGCTGCGTGAGTTCAATAAGTTTGACCTTGTGAATGTAATATACTTTCTCGACACTCTATTCACGGCAAAACATTGCCACACTACCTTCCGGTCGACAGAATCGAATACCATTTTCAGGTCGAAGAAATATGAGTACTTTTTATCAATAGCCTTTTATGTGATGCCAATTTGCGACAAAAAAGCCACCAAGATATGAAAGAGAAGTCAACAGATATTGAGATAGAAGCGCATTTACAGAAACCACATAACTAAACACAATGACGTGATAATTCTGTCTCGGGAAAATAAACCAAAACAAAGGTATATCAATAATTAGGACCAAAAAAGTGAAACCAACACAAGACTGAGAATATGTAGGACAGTTAAAAGCAAACAAGCAGCGATCATACATCTTTCACTATTCCTACCACTACGCAGAACATAATAAACCGGTCTACACTTTGCAAAATGATTAATCCTGTATTAAAGTCAACAAACTAGGTAGCCATAAAATCGACATGAATGTAACGGTACATTACTGATCTCTTTATTATCCTAGAGAGAGAGAGAGAGAGTGAACTGACAGTTTAAGGCGTGTTACTAGGCTTTATAAATAAATTAGAGTAAACATTGTCGAAGTTTCAGTTCATTCATAAGCTCGTGTTTGAGTGCGACAGATACATTCTGGTTATTGTCAGACATCACTTATAAGATAACATTCTTCTTACATTGCTATGGGAGAAATTACCTAATAATACTGTTGACACCTGACTTGTTTTATAATCAGTGTGACCGAAAACACTGACTTACAAGGTGATGATGTCATCAATAAGATGTCAGACAACTATGCAATGACTTTAAGATCATTTCATAAGAACCTGAATGAAAGGTTGTCTTTTGTTTATCTTAAAAAACCGTTTTCATCTTGGTGTTCTACGAAAGACAAACTGAGTCACATGCAACGCATATGTGTAAGCCTTGTCTGTACACTAGCTTCATTTTTCAAAGTCATACAGTGTTCTTTACCAGGTCAAAAATTACTAGTATGTACAAAATATCCATAACATCGTACTATAGGTGTGTTAAATTTACCATGCAAAACACTGAGAGATTTTTACCAGCCCCTTCTTCATTTCCATCACACGTCGAGTGTAGTTAGAAGCATATATGCTAGAAATAGCACGAAAATGAATCAATCCATACAGCATGACTGAATCTTTATAACTTACACCTATCCCTAATTCTCGTCATATCTTCAAATAAAAGTAATTAGTTAAAGGCATCAGGTGCTTACTTCCAAACAGCGACTGAGCTTTGAGAGACATACCAAGGTACGTCGAACTGTTGGATACCACATACCATGTAAATCCGCTGGAGCAAGAGACATGTTAGGTCCTGGTTGAACTACCAAATCAGAAGATGTAGGCTGAGCTTCTGGAACTGTTTCTGACGATGTAGGCGATGTCTGAGTGGAGTCAGATATTTCAGTAGTCTCTTTTACTTTATCCGATGAATCGCTTGGATCTACAGGTTTCGCAATACTCTTTGCTATGTCCTGTAAGTATATACATTAAAATGGTAAAATTCAAAAATAATATCTAATACATATAGGAAGACAACGCAAATCTCTGTACGCAAGTGCTTCAATTCAAGCTGTGGTATAGATTAAAAGGAATCGGAAGCGCATAGTAGTATCTGTGAACAAACGTGCGTGTCAATGGAATCTTTAAAATGAAGTGTGAATGCATGTGGTTAATTTAGCCAGAGCATAAGAAACCTTAAATCATCAACTCTTAGATTCCTGGATAATCCAGACACACAATACACACCTCCGTATATGGCTCAAAATAACAATGAAATACCCAAATTGAACACCTCTAATCCATTATAATAAAGGTTTTTTTCTATTTCCCAATGAATGAAAAACAAAACGATATTGTTTTTACTGACGTTTCGCTATTTAATGCTAATAGCTTTCTCAAAGTATTATTAAACCGGAATTTACAAAATCACAGCATATAACTGCTGTGTTTGTTAATTACATCAACTAACATGAATGTGAATGTAACTCATTAGATAGCTTGTTCCACATGTTAGCACTGTTCGGTAACTAACCGCCTCTCCTTGAAGGACATTTGTTCTGCATTTACTACAGGTAACTAACTATTGAATTTGTGTATCATGTGCAAATAGAACTTTAGGACAAGTCACGTGCATTTCAACTTTAGGAAAGCCTACACTTCGCCCTGAGTATTGGCTATGAGACCTAAGATATCGATCGGTGTGCAGTTAAATCCTAGACACAGCTTCTATGACAAATATTATGATAGGTGTATAAGTTAAGCCTAACGATTTGGCTACATTAGATTGTAACACAAGAAATGTTAAGATGCAACGAATATTCTCTTTGAGTTATTTAAAGCGGCACCGGTGTATACATCGACACCGGGAATATCAACAGAGCACTATATCCTTGTTATGAAGCAAATAAGTTTTTTTTTTTTTTTTTGACAAGCAGCGAAAAGTATTTGTTAGGATAATGAGCACTGAAGTCTACCACATTGTGAATCGAATTCAAAATTTGCAAATTGGTTGGCGATTTGCAATTTACACAGTTCGTTCGGTGCAATTAAACCGCAGTTTCCTTCGGAAACCAAGTTATCCCGATCACAAAATGTGATATGCTTGATACCATAAATCGTGATGAAGAGAGCAGGAAAATTTGCATGCAAGTGATTGAGATGGGTGGTTGCATACGACTCATATCAGCCAGCCGTGCTTGCTAGCCACATCGAGGTGATCGAAACACCAGACTCGCTCGTTTGGGGCTTTGTCATTTTATATGAAATTATACGATAAATGCAAACCACAGCAAATATCTTAGCCATACTAATTTTTCTATTGAAATAGTAGGAAGTTCGAGCACTGAATATTGGAATACTGGAATTTCAATGAATTATAGGAGCCTTAGAAGCAAGAACAAGGAGTGCAATCGATATTTTCTTATGACACGTGATCTAGAACTCATTAACACTTTCTAAACACGCAGACGAGTCTATTGATATAAGAGTACAAAACTCGTCATTTTCAGAAATAACCAACCAATAGGTTGAGAATGAGACATGCATAAGTGTAATCAATGAGATGGCGATTGGACATTAAGGCATAACTGGGTAATTTTCGTACCTGTTTGTTGTCACTCTCATTGTCGTCACTGGATAGAACAACAAATCAGTTGGCTCATTCGATAAGGTTCGCAACAATATATTTATATATATAAAGATATATAGACGTACATATGTATATAACCAAACTTACTCTTATATTGTTTCTTGCCTTATCGACATTCTCTAATTGGCCAGATATGGATACTTGATTACTCTTAGCAGCAAACTCGTCCCGATTACAATCCGGAAAATGTATATGACATTGTGTGTTCTCGTAACTCTTTTAATATCATCACCACGATGACCAATTACATGACTGTGGTCAGTATGTGATACATCAATTTTCAATGTGACGCGATTCGACATTTTATCGGATTGATCTCCTTTATAATTCAAAAAAAGGAAAACAGAAACGAGGAGTAGAATTTTGTTTGTAGTATGTCTGCTTTAATTAATTCATTCATTAATCAATCAATTTCTTTAACACTTCTTTACAATTTGATGAACACTTCATGAAACGTATTTGGTTGTTGTTGTTGTTGTGTGGTGGTGGTGGTGGTGGCTATCAGCGAACTCCCAGATACACGCTGACTGAATTCCAACAGTCACCTTTGCAATAATAAAGCTACTAAGAAAGTCCACCACCACCATCAGATTTCACTTTGATTTCATCTAACGTCTTCCAGTCGACTGCTTTCAACAATCTAATGTCATAAGTTATTTCAGATCGGTTCGACCTATAAAGCCAAGTCTAAACATTATTCTAGTACGAATACGGAAGCCTGAAATACTACGCGATTCTTCATTTTTCATTTGATTTCAGGGTCTGAAATATCATCAGATCATGAATTCAAAGTTGGTTTGGACGAAGCGTACTTTCTCCACTACAACTAAGGTGCTGTATTATTATGACAACAGACATTTTACTTTACAACTGCAAGAGTCTGAAGAGAATTCGTTGAAACGTCTTCAGTAAATACACTACACAATTCAGACAAATTCCATCTTCGTATTGCTTTGTCTAAATTCATAAAGGGAACTAATTGTTTTAAAGGAAGATTATTCTTCACTCAGAGAGATAGTTGTGGTATTTATTGACACGGAGTTTTCCAGACCCTCCTATCTCTTGGAAATTATAATTTTTACTGTAAAATAATGAACAGTGCTTAAACCAATAAGCTACCTATCATTACGCTCCACCCATCAAAATGCATTTCATTCACTCTTTCACGTTTTTTCAAATGATTCAATTACATCATTGAATCACAATCTGCAATTACGCCTCCTTTCAAATGGGTTTCAGCCAATCAGTATGCATATTTTCAAGGGAATGGAGAAAAGGCGAAGGAGGTTATTACAGCGTGCTTTGGACAGAGCCATATACCTTTAAGTGGTATATGACAGATTATTAATTATTACAAGTGAAGATTCTACACAGGGAGTATATTCTTTACAATAGAATATACTGAGAGTTTTGCATAATGCATGAATGCGTCTTTAAGAATACTTATTATTATTACTATTATTACTATTGATATAATCACTGAGGAAGACACTCAAATTGAGGTATGATTACCACTTAATCTCATGGTTATTGGTTCAATACAAACAATTATTTGCAAATCAAACAGATCCGGATAGAAATATGTCACTGTTTCCTCCTAAAACCCAAAACTTTCAGATTACAGTCTGTGTGTGTATGTACGGTGTGACTTAACACCGTAAATAACAATCGGGAAGACAATCAAAGTAGCAATGTTGATATATATATATATATATATATATATATATATATATGCGTATATCGGTAAGTGACATGAGTATTTAGAAATTGTGACATGAATAGTTGCAAATTAGCCTAGTCCTAATTGGATTTTCATTGCAAAAATGTAGGGGTTCAGACACACTTTGTCGAAATACTCACACCATAGACAACTTCTAAAGTCTTCACTTTCAAACTATAATGCACTTCTGTTCACAAAAGTATCATGTCAGTAACCAATTCATCGAAATATACACCTATTCGATATAAAGATGAGACTTGTGGACTGTGGTACACTACAATTCCATTATGGATAACATTTATTTTGATAAAGTCACAGCGTTATAGAGTAATACTGGCTAGATTTCCAATAGTTAGCAACCAATACCTCTTTTTCGTTTTAGCTAGCATGATGCAAAGATGCAAAACAGATGAAATACTATACACACAAATTATTTAAAATTCAAGAAGTTATATCACTCACCTAACAAATTTTCAGTTTGATCATAAAATTCCGACACATGTAGGTCTCTTTGAAATCCTCTAGGATTTGACATGTTCATGATTCTGTTATGTTCCGGATAAAGTGAAGGCTTTGTATGATATGAAATTGATTTCCAGTTTTAAATAAATCTATAACAATATAATATCTGTATGTCTTGATATGATTTCAAGTAGCAAAATGAGTATGTCCTAAACCAGGGCGAATAGTAAATTCACTAACGAAGATTTCAAATGGACAGACGTGTGACATTAACTGGCCTTATTCATGTATTATTTTGATGTTTTAATTTGTTAACACAAATCATATCATAAGACGTCCAATCACGGCTCATCTCATGCTGCTTCATGCTATTGGCTAAAATACGATAGTCTCATATAGTAGTCTTACTTTACTCAACTCATTAAATCCATTTTGTCTGTGTGTATTTCATATTGAGTCATTTGCATTTAATTAAAGAAAAAAAAACAATCAATCAATACTTATATATACTTCGTCATAATGAGTAAATGTGATGTGTGTTCAAAAAAATAGACTGAATTATTGTCTTGATTGTCTTATAATAGATGAGATGTATTCAAGTGCATAAGGTTAGGCAGATATCATTCATACTCATACGAATAGACCTCACTTTTCGTTAAGGTCAAGGTATTGAAATTTTAAAATGGGAAAGCATAATATCAAAACAGAACCAGACGTCAATATAATGGTGAGAATAACACTATAGAGACTAGTGAAGCTTTTAAGGATTTGGAATACTAGCAGGAAATTTGAACGAAGCTGTGTACACCACCATTGAGAACGACTTACAAGACATTACAGAGAAGAGCACTTTTGAAACAAAAATTAATTACATAAAGTTATTATTATTATTCATCTTTTCAACTATATATTCTATATTTCAACTTCCTAGAGCATACATTATCGATGATTCATCAGGAAGTATCAATTAAAGAGGGAGAGATCAAAGGTCACCAAGTTATTAATGATAATAATGAGAATACAAATGAATGCAAACATCAGGTTGCGTATCATCTCTACATTCATTTATTTATTTGTTTTGCAGGGATTCCTTCTGTCAGAAAATTATTAACACGTCTCCTGATTTGTTGTCATAAGATATTACTTCTTTTTTCAAATACACAAAGTACATATCTGCTTTTCATATTACTGGATCCAACTGGTTCTGAATTCTTAAAGAATGTATATTGACAGAGTAACTGTAAATAGTAGAAATGAATAAAATCTAAAACTCCTCAACAGTACGCACCCACCGGGACTCGAAACAAGGACATTCTACTTAGTCCCAAGGTAGGACGAAACAACTGTCCACTAGTCCCTGCCGGTTTTCCAATGGTTCTCCAAACAATGTCAGCTCAGGATGAAATCCTGTAACGCCCTCTAGTTTTTTTTTCTCAACTCGAGACGAGTTTTGTTTGTGTTACAGAATCTACATTCTGTATGTATTGTGCAATACGACTAGAATAACTTTGGAAGGCAGTCGATAAAGTGAGTTTAAAATTGATAATGATCAAAGTGTGTATAATACTGAAGATGATGAAATGTGTTGACTTGTATATCAGAAAAATTGAATAATTAAATGCAAACAGGAGGCGAAGTTACTTCTGCATAATTCATATTGCATGCGTACTTTCTATTGATGAATACAGTTCTAAAGTGTTCACTTATAAGTGAGAACAGAGAAAGGAAATGTTATAGGCAAGATAAGCAGAGATAGAGAAAGAGACATGTTACCTGAAACTGATGTGTGCATCGATATCTTGTCTCTTGGTTTGCTACACTAAGACTTTGATTGGTCTATTTTCTACATAGTGTGGTGGTGTGATGCAGAGAATGTATTCCGACGGAATATTGTTCTCACATACTCCCACAGTTCAGTTCACTACGGGATTAGCAACAGAATACTGTGTATATTTGAAATTCTATTTGTTTCCAGGGTAAGAATACTTTCCCTATAGTTCAATATAGGCATTAGCAACAGAACGCTCTATATATTTATTTGGAAATTCTATTTCATGTCGTTTAATGTAAACCAAAATCACACACTGGGTGATTAGTTAAAGAATATAAAAGTGTGTTTATATATAAATGCCTGTTTGATCACTTGAAAATATACCTTGGCTTCTGTGTCTTGCCTTCTGCTGTTAGAATAGCACTTACATATATCATGTCTTCATTTTGCTTCACTAGAGTGTCTCTTTCTCTGGTTTTACCTTATATAAAAGTAACATTATCAATGTTATAGGCGATAAAATCACAACAATAGAATGATGGAGTAAAATTTTTTTCTCAAGAATTCCATTAAGCTGAACTTGTCTTATAAATTGACAGACTGTTCTTGTTTCAGTTTCTCACTAATTTGCGCACAGATAATAACATTTATCTAATGTTTTATGAACAGCATTAGCGTACTACTGAAAAAAGATGACACAAGCAGTGTAAAATTAAATAGGCATAGATAGAACACCAAGATTGGTGCAGATGAATAGATTGGTCGATATTTATGGTCGCATTGTCAACATTCAGGGCACATGTGGTGATTGACAATTTCTATCTCTGTATTGTTTAAATACTGACTGTTGCTTGTTAATATATTTCTAATATGAATTGATAATTAGAATTCCGCCAAATACAAACAAATGAAAAGTAGAAGACATACGTTTCATTTGCTTGTATATTGAGGCTTCGATTGAAATCGTCATATCCTTTCCATATTCTATTGTTATCGGTTACAATACTGTCAGATTTCAATTGCCATTCTGCATTGGATTCATAGCTCATTAAACGCAGACCATCCTTCTCATGATGATGATGATGACGACAGGAATTCATTCCTCCACCGAATGGATTATTGTAAATAGTATTAACAATTGGCTTCGTCGATGTTGTTGCTGGTGTTGAATATGATGATAACGGTGGAGCAATCAACGTCATGTTCTCTTTATTCCCCTCTTCTTGATTGATTGTTGTACAACCCTCTGTATCATCGAAAGTCATTCTCCCTCTAAATTACGTTTTTCACATTCATAGAAACAAACAATTGCACATATATCATTATGTGTACATTGACAAAAACAAATGCAATGAAACACATCCCAGCTCCGTTTCCTAACAGTCACAACGTCTGTCTGAGCACTTCAAAATGTTTAAGAACATTATGCACAACGTCAGTCATAACACTCATATTAGATACTTGTGTCTCATTAGTTAGCACTCACTGCATCACATCCAGTTGATTACTTCCTTTGAGTTTTGGGCACCAATGCTATCTGGTATGTCACTCGAACATTCAAATGCCAACAAGTAGTCTCGTCTGAATACCAACTCATTGATAATCTACAACACATCAGTAGCTGACCAGCATACCGAATACACCGAAACTCAATTATCCCGCCTCTCACTTGACTCCTGATTACAATAGCTGGTTAGTGCTAAGTGTTCAAATGACTACATAATTCAATTGTTTTATCAAAAAACAAGAGCGATAGATTATTGGATTGTGTCGTGTGATTTATGTCTAAATGATTCCATTGACCGCGATGGGGAAATCGGAAGCGATGGCTGTGGGATTATTACCCTGGAGATTATGATGATTATGATGATCCATTGGGCAGAAAACCCACTGCGAATACGATCATCGTTTGGAAATAATAGAGAAGATTTGTAGCTCACGTGGATGATTCGCAACTAGTTGTGTTCTCTGAGGCGGTTGTTTTAATTGTGGAGCTTTCGTCGTCCTGCTGGACAACATCTTCAGGAGAACTAACACAGCCAGCACGAACACTTTGTTTGATATTGTGGAAACCGAAAGATCCAACAGAAAAAGAAGATAAAACTAATACTATTAAGAAAATAAATTGTATGTATGAATGTAACAGACATTACATCGGCCAAAGTGGGTGTCCGCTTCGAATCAGAATCCAGGAACACAAATTAGCTGTGAAAAGACATGATATGCATATTCTTCCATATCAATGCATGTAGATAATTATGGACATTAATTTTATTGGAATAATGTCGAAATTCTATACAGAGGAAATACCAAAAGTGCCAGAGAATTCCTAGAAGCCCGGTACCCAAGCGAATACGCGATTAACAAACATGCTAACATAGACCAAATCGACCAAGTAATAAAAGGTAAATCATGTGACGAGAAAGTTCAAAATCCAAGTCAATAGAAATGATCAAAACAGATATAAGTCGACTGGCAGTCATGAAGATAGTCACCAGCAGGAGACACAATTCTATCATTCACAGAGAATTGAAATCAGTTGCTTTCATGCTAAAGCTTGCGCTGAAAGGGGCGGATGTTGTCCAGAAGGAGGAAGAAAGCTCCCCAATTGAACCAACAAGCTCAGAGAGCATAAATAATTCCAGATCCATAGTTTCATGCTTGAATCGACTTTGTATTTGACAATGATTCCTTGTGACTATTGCTTCATCTTCGTGTCACTTAGTTTATTTATCTCTGATATCATGGTGACTGTTTTCCAACAAGAATGAGTGAGAAACCATAGTAACTGATTGAAAATAGAAAAAACAACATTTTTATCATTTCTTTCCTTCACGTTCCCCACTGGAACATAGGGCTTCAAGCTAGTGGATAGAAGTCTCTCTAGCAGTGTTTAGTGTTACAGGATGGGGTTGTTAGCCTCATTCCCAACCTTTCCTCTTTACCAGCATTACTTCTGGCTTAGCGAGGTAAGCGAGTGAGTCAGTGGTCGCCAATCGAACCTCGGAGCATGTGCATGGTCGGCGAGCGTCCTAACCGCTATGACACTGACTCACACATTTTTATCATAAACCAAACAATTTATTTTTGATTAGACGTTGGAAACAAAAGTGTACATGAACACAATGTGGGAAGTAAACGTTTTAACACTTTCAAATCGACATGTTAGATAGAAGATGATGACTAAGCGTTAAAAATAATCAATACTTGCTTATAATATGAATAAACAGTGTGTATACAGCAATGTGGAGTAGATAAACAGGCTAATGAAAAAGTACATTGATTTAATTTCTCCTTATGATCTCATAGCTCACATTCACACACACACACACACACAAACATAGATTGAAAGAGGCATACACGCACACATCAATGCAACATGGATAAATACTACACACATACAAGAATGCATACAAGACGCTCACTCGAAAAAGTAGTTAAACACTGGAGAGTGGAAATAAACAGTTATTGGACAACACACTCAACGCACACACACACACACACAAACATACAAACTGACATACACGCACACACTGCGAATTAACAACAGCCATCTTAGTGATCTGCAGTACGCTGATTTATATCTTGCCATGGCTTAAATCAACGGGCCAACTTCAGTCATCACCTATGACATTTATACCTGTCTGTCATTCCAAGGTTATTTTACGTGCTCTCATCAAGGCATAGATCCACTGTGAAGACAATTCATAGTATCAATTAATGTTCGCCTCTGCACTTTTCACTAGCCAGTCACTCCAGTCATACTGAATTCATCGTCAGTGAAAACGAAGCCTTTCTACACACACAGTTTTACATGAAAGGAAATGTTTTATAGAGAAAAATGTTCACTGACTAGCCTCAGCGTTGTTCATTACAGAGGATGTCTTGAAAGTATAGGTGTCCGGAAAATTATAAATGAAAACAGGAGTTAGGTTTTACAGAGCAAGTTGTGAAGTCTTGTTAACTCACTGATATGATGATAGGCGATAAATTCTTCTCGAGACACCATTCAGCCATTAGCACTGTATCACATTCTGTGATATCAAATCAGCTAATCAAACATGGAATCAATCATATTCTGCAGTTTCTGCATTCTCTCTCCCTACATACATCTCGTTAAATTTCCGTCCTGAAATGGTTGTTTCGTGGTTTTTTTGTGGATTGTTGATGAATATGGAGGCGCCGGGGTTCGGATTCGCGAATTTCCAGTTGAGAGTCATGCTAGAAGACCATTGAGCCACCGTGGTACGTCAGTGGTTCAGAAGTAGGAGGCTGACCAATCTAGTAAGCGGCACGGGTTTCGTACACGGCTGATGCACTCCTTCAACTCACTCAGCCTGTAGAAACCCCTGTAAAGAGGGAAGGTTAGGAGTGAGGCGAGCAACCACCATCCCGTAGAAATAAAACCACTCCTAATGAAACTTCAATGCTCTAGCCTGAAGCAAGCCCTATGTTCCACCGGGTACGCAAAGCAACGAAGGATGACTACTACTTGTAATAATAAAAATGATGATGATGATAATAATAGTAAAATCTACTCAAAAATGAATACACTTCACTATTGTTGTGAGATCTAGTTGTCATCGTGCTTCTTTTCATTTCAACTGAATAATATCATGATGAGTCAGTAAAACGTAGTCATAATATTTTCTGGATTATTTAATGGACTTGTGAAACATGTAATTGGCAAATATGCCTACAAGATCTGACTGACTCACCTATTTGAAAATCTTTCTACCTCTTTGTATTGATTGTTCGACTTGAAAATATCATTCGGCCATAATTTATCTGAATTTAGTTGATAGCTCATTGAATTTAAAGATTTCGAAGCATAAATACTATTGTCGATTGCTTTTGCTGTAGTGTAAAGAACAAATAAATAAATAAATATTTCAATGTACAATATACAATCAGTATGAGTAAGTAAACAATTCTGACTAATCATGCCTATACAATGATACGAGTTTCGAAATAATTCGGCCTTTGATGCATATACTAATTATTTGTTTCAAATCTCACCTAATTTACCGGCCAGTCCTTAACCCGTAAGTGAAGAAACAATCGTCATGAAAGACACCCGCCCCCAATCTCCTCAGGAGAAATCCGAAGCACAGGAAAAATAGACTTATTGTTTCCCGAAATCAGGAAGACGCGACAATCCCACGATGGATGTAACAGTGTGTGAAAGAGTCCGGGAAGCCAGTTGACCAATAATTGTTCTAACCACGAAAGCAAAATTAGGCTGAGGTACAGACAACGTCCACACCGTGTTTCAGGTTAGCTGACGACGTTAGCTGATCAGATGTACAAGAAATGAGATTCTCCGATAATATATAACTAACACCGTCCTCCTAGTCTCATGCATAGAATTCATTTCTCAGTTATTGCCTGGTATTTCATAAACTACATTATTCTTCCTAATTCGATCTATTGGGTCTCTGAGCCGATAAAATTTGTCTCCACTTTGAATGTCACGTTGTCTTCAGCCTTATCGAGAATCTACTTAGGACTTATTAATAATCATAATAATAATAATAAGATTTTTGTCATGTAATGTCCCTTCTAATTTGTGGTAACTTTTCAAAGAAATTACTAGCGGTAAGCGATATACTTCTGTCCCATCTCTTAATGTCGACACTCCTAATAAGTCTCTCATACCCTCTTCTGTCGATATCCTTCCTAATGATACAAATCATATTGACAATAATTGTAGTGGTTTTAATACCCTTGATGTGCTTAAATGTCTCCGGTCTCTTAAGCCTTCCCAAAGCCTTGGTCCTGATGCGTAA